AGGAGGAAGTACTTTTACTATGGAGGAAGCACTTTTCTACTTACTTGGCACAAGCTGAAACTTATCACTGGGGAGGGGAAAGCTTTTTCCTGGGATCTTCCCTGGCAGGAATTCTCCAAATGACCACAGCAAAACTGAAAAACTAAAACTTCTGATTTAGTTTCCACACACTTATTAATTGGGGATTGATATCAATCTATTCACAAAGACCTTGAAAATACTTGGAAAATGGGAAATAGACTTAACTAGTCTCAAGTCCTATATGGTCCTCACACGTTCTCCAATAAAACAGTTTGCAGATAAACACTTCTTCCATGGAAGCTTTTTGCCAGGTCCTTCTACTTGTCTTAGAAAGACTGAAACTAGGACTGAGAATCATCCAGAAAATACTTCTTTAAAACCCAAGAACTACAATATCTCACCTTAAACTTGTTTTCCATACAGAGAGAAGCATTCTACCATCCCATCTCTTTCAGAATTTTCCACAGTTTGTTGTGATTCACACAGTCAAAGACTTTAGCATAGTCAATAAAGCAGAAGTAGATGTTTTTCTGGAATTCTCTTGCTTTTTCTATGGTCCAACGGATGTTGAAAATTCGATCTCTGGTTCCTCTACCTTTTCTAAATCCAGCTTGTACATCTGGAAGTTCATGGTTCACGTACTACTGAAGCCTCACTTGGAGAATTTTCAGCATTGCTTTGCTAGCGTGTGAGATGAGTGCAACTGTGCAGTAGTTTGAGCATTCTTTGGCATTGCCTTTCTTTGGGATTGGAGTGAAAACTGACCTTTTCAAGCCCTGTGGCCACTGCTGAGATCGCACATGCTGTGGGGCAGCTAACCCCTCGCACCACAATGAAGAGCCTGCAAGACACAGTGAAGATCCCACGTGCTGCAACTAGGACCTGAAGCAGCCAAAAACAAATAAAGATTCTTATTTAAAAAAAAACACACACACATATATATACACACACACCATGATCACAGTTTAAATTTTATGACTCTAAATACAGCTTTTGTAAAAGAAGGCAAAAATTTCCTGCAAACACAGTGTTAATCCTGATTACAAGGAGGAAGTACTTTTACTATGGAGGAAGCACTTTTCTACTTACTTGGCACAAGCTGAAACTTATCACTGGGGAGGGGAAAGCTTTTTCCTGGGATCTTCCCTGGCAGGAATTCTCCAAATGACCACAGCAAAACTGAAAAACTAAAACTTCTGATTTAGTTTCCACACACTTATTAATTGGGGATTGATATCAATCTATTCACAAAGACCTTGAAAATACTTGGAAAATGGGAAATAGACTTAACTAGTCTCAAGTCCTATATGGTCCTCACACGTTCTCCAATAAAACAGTTTGCAGATAAACACTTCTTCCATGGAAGCTTTTTGCCAGGTCCTTCTACTTGTCTTAGAAAGACTGAAACTAGGACTGAGAATCATCCAGAAAATACTTCTTTAAAACCCAAGAACTACAATATCTCACCTTAAACTTGTTTTCCATACAGAGAGAAGCATTCTACCATTCTCAAGTTGTACTTTAAAACTAGAGTAATAACTATAGTAAATCTCTTTTGACTGCTTCTTCTGTAAGACATTGTGCTGAGGGCTTTACATGCATTATCTCAGCTAGTCTTTATAACTATTCCATGCAATAAAGTGCGAGTATTAATGTCTATTTTCCAAATAAGAAAACCAAGGCTTGGATCTTCCTCAAGACTACATAAGAAGTGGAGCTAGGACATTAAACCCAGGATATAGCATAAATCCTCATAAGGCCCAATTTTCATAGCTGCATAATATTCCACTGCATCACTGACATTTAAAGATACTCATTTAATGTCTTTTTAATTAGAAAGATATCTTAAAATAGGAAATCATGGGACCGATGGCCAGCTTGCATCAGAACAAGGTAACAGGTTCCAAATGATGGATCTTTTTCTACTAACAGGCCCATCATTCTGGTTCCCCTGGAATGCAACACGGACAAGGAAGAACAAGGAATGCTCAGACTCCCAGCTAAGGCCTGCCAGACCCAAACACCAGAGAGCACCTGGCCTGCAGTGGTCCTCTCTCTTCTACCTTTACTAGCGCCTGTTTTCTAGAGAAATGGTGGTACATTTGAATGTATCTTAGCCTGGCTTCCTTGGAAAACAAAGTCTGAGACTAAGCTTCTATGCCAGGGCTCTGGAGGAATCCCAGGGATGTGAGAGGGAAGACGAGAAATGAGGTGATGAAAGCAGATGTGTATGGCGTGGGGCTGGTGGTGGCTTCACAAGAATCACAGCTTCTTGCTCGGTCACCCAGGACTTCCCCAAAGAGCCTGTTGGGAACTGCAGAACCTCAAAAGCTTCCATCAGAGGAAGTGATGTGAGAGGAGGGCATGCATTTGCCAGCGCCTGGCTGTTTCTTGTTCCCCATTAGTCAAAGTTCACCCCTTGGTGACCCAACTTCCCCCCTCAACTGGGGTGTATCAGCTGGTCCTTTCTGCAGCAGATGGGGAAGCCAGACCCCACACCCTGCAGGGCACACTTCATTTGAGTCCAGAAGTGGTGAGGGGAACCCCAGCATGGCCTTGGATGGCAAGATGGTAGAGATCTGGGCTCTACCACTCCCAGAGATAGATGAGGCTAAGAAGATCTGAGCTGGTACCCAAGCAGGAGCCAATACAGGAAGGTTAAACCCAGACGGGAATTAATGCCAGTACACAGTCCCACGTTACATAGAGTGCAGAAGTGATGCTCTGTAGGTATTTCTGAACTCTGGACTATTTGTGCTCATTGAATTTCTGCAGATTCTTATAATTCTGTCATAGCACATCATCCATTCATTTCTTCTTTATTCATTTATTGAATAAATGCCATTCGATAGCACTTATGCAGGATCTTCCATGGCAAGGCATATTCTAGTGAAATTCGAGGGACAGAGAGAGGGCTAAGACCCAGACTCTGCCTGGGACAGGGAGACAGGCAAACCAAAGATGATCTCAACACGGTGTGATCAGGGGGACCCAGCAGTGCCATGAACACACAGGGGAGTTATACCTAGCCCCATCTTGGGGTCAGTGAAGAATAACTGAGGGAAGATGAAACCTGGGCGGGGGCTTGAAAGATGAACAGAAATTAGTTAGAGGTGGGGGATATGATTGGCAGTATAACATTTAGAAGAACAAAACAGGACAATACAATATGGTCCGTTAGAGAGTGCTATTTTACTTAGCCATGTTTAAGTGACTGTGCTAACATGCAAAGCCATCGTTTGTTACCCAAAAGGGCGTGCAACAGACATCCCTGACTCCTAGACATTCATCCTGAGACCTCCCTGCTACCTAACTCCATCCCTGAATATCTCCCATCACTGACCCCAACTCCTAAAGTATGTATCAGAGATGGGATGGGATCTGGAGATAAGGGAAGGCATGGTGTGAAGGGAAGATGTGGCTAAGAAATGAGCTTCAAGTTCAGGGATGGCCCGAGATTCAGGGTTAGTGTTGGGAATGGGGTGAGCCGGGGACACAGAGCCGGAATGATGGTGTCTATTTTGTACACGATGTCTACCCTTGAAGACTGAAAAAAGCCCCCCTTTCAAAACTGCTGCAATAAAGTATAATGTGTTCATACAAAATCTAGGGGATGATTAAAAGCATGTTGTATCTTCTGAACTATAGATAATTCAGTTTAACTCACTGAAGCAATGAGCCAGAGGAGGTTAGCAAGAGAGGAGGCTGGCGAGACTGAGAGTCAGGTCAGATGGGGCCTTGGAGGCCATCTCAAGAAGGCTGGGATCTGGCATAAAGGGAACGGAGATCAGTGAAGCACAGGATTCAGGGGTATTTGACAAAGATCCTTCTGGAAGCAGTGAGGATGGTCGGGTGGAGGGTGGGAAGACCAGCTGGTAGTTACAGTGATTGGGCATTGCTAGATGAGGGGGAAGAGGCGGATGTTCTCTATGGGTCACTGAGGAGGCAAGATCATCCAGACGCGGGGATGAAGTCTATCTGGGGCTCACCTAGATTGAAGGGGTAGTGGTCAGTGGATAAAAAGGACCCTGGAAAACCGACAGATTTTAGTTCTGTCCCCCAAGATAAGGACTTTCGGGGGAAGAACGGCTGAGGGGTGGTAGGGATATGAGTTTACTTTTAGACCCGGCGAGTTTGATGGGCATTCAGGACAATCACACTGAGGCGTCTATGGGTCTGCTCAACAGACATGTCGAGAGATGAGCGTTCATCACACAGATCGACAGATCAGTTGTGGCTCTGGACTAGGTCACCAAGAGAATGTACAACACAAGGAGCAACAAGAACCAAGGGTGGGAAAGTCAGCCTTTACGTGCTGAGCTCGGGATAAACAGCCAGGAGGGACTCCACTATAAACGCCTTCTCTGGCCACGTCGTGGAGGCTCCAGGCTGAGATCCACCTCCCACTGTAGGGGGAAATAAACTACCGGATTTGCTTAGAATCAAGAGGTGTATGCATGTGTGCTCACTCAGTCCTGTCCAATTCTTTGCGACCCCACGCGTTGTAGAATCAAGAGGAAGATCAGGTAGTACGGATTTTCGTGTTCATGTCAACTAGCAAACACTTCAGGTAACACCAAATTGAGGGGGCTCTGGAGGCTCCAGGATGAGACAGAGGGGGAAAAATACAGGCAGCGTTAGACAGAACCACAAGAGTTGTGCATTTCTGGTTTTCCAGCCCTGGAGGAAGTGAAACCTTCCTCACTTGTTTGCAGCATGGGGTTTACTTATGCTTTACACACTTACCCTGGTACGTCCACCACCTACGCAATTCATCTGTCAGGAAGGGGTCTCTAGTCAGGGCTAAAGTCAGGAGGCACTCAAACTTGAAGTTCTCCCCCTAGGAACTGATGCTTAACCTTATGTTTGTTTGTTTGTTTGATTGCAGAGTAAGTAATTTTTATTTTTGTCATAAATGTATGTATTGTGACATACACATACAGTAAAAAGAACGTATCAGCAAACATTAGCTGGCTAACCTTTTACAAAGATGAACACCATCGACATTTGGGCTGGGTGACTTTTTTCTATGCGGGCTGCCCTGTGCCATGTAGGATGTCTATCGGCACCCTTGGCCTCTACCTTCTCGGTACCCATAGCATGCCCATATAAATCCTGACAGCTAACACTGTCACCAGATTTGTCTGCTGGGACAAAATGACCCCCAACTGAGAAGCACATTAACCTTACTTCTTTAAAAAAAAAGAAGTCTGACTCTCTGGGTTTTCTTTGAAATATAATGTAAGTAAGAGACCCTCCCCTCCAGGTAAATGCAGGCGACACTCTGTCTAAATTCAGGAGCGTCAGAGACATCTCTCCTAAGGTCCCAGCATGTGAGACTCCCAGCTAAAAGCTCCGCCCGAGAACAACTTACCTAGTTCCCGCTGCTGTCAGACTTTCCAAAACCAAGCAAAACCACGCCAGGACGGCAGAGCAGAAGGAAGCCAGGCACTGCGGCTTCTACTGACCCTGAGCTGATAAACTCCTCATTTCCATTTTCAGTACTGCGGAGGGGATCTCCTTCCCTTTTCCAAGAACGTCTCCCCTCCTGCTTCCCCCCAGCAAAACAAGACACACAGGCATAACACCACGACAGTCCACCCAAACGCTAAACACTCGGGCTGCCTCGTGGCTGCGGCTGCAGCTGGGTTCCTGGCGGACTGCAAAGCTGTCCCTGGGCAGCAGGCCCCTCATAAACAAGAAACAGCCCAGCGCAGGCTGCTGGCGGAGGCAGGGAAGGGAGCCTGGGCGTCTCCGATGACCAGGGACAGCGGCGTGTAACCAGGCACGCTGGGTGGGCTTGGCCCGGCGTGAAAGCTGAATCAGAATCTGTCCGCTGAGGCCTGGCCCTGTTGGCATAGATCAGGCCTTGGGTTTTGATAGATGGCACGTACTGATAGATGCAGAGGGCAGATATGTTATAGGAAGTGTATGACTTGCAGACAAAATAATCCTCACGTTATGAAATGGGAGCAACTCGGCCTCTTGAAATAGTGACGACTCAACCATCTCTGCCGTCCTAGTGTATTTCCTTCTTTTAAATTTATTCTTCCAATTTTTATCTATTTATCTACCTTTTGATTTCTTTATTATAAAAGGAATGCACTCTCACTAAAGGAAATCTGGAAAATACAGAAAACCAGAATAAGCACTGGAGTACTTCTGAAATGATTTGATTTCTAAAAACTCCCTCTGCAAGCACCTTTCCAGCTTCCCAGGGACACTTCTATTGTTTAAGGGTAAAGAGTTCCTTTGTGGGGGCAGGGGGAGGTGTCACCACAGACAAATGGGACAGAATCCTTTGACCCCGTGATTGCCTGGGCTCTCACCCCGTGGCTGAGAATTATTTATTCTATTGTTTTTTTCCAAGTTGACGGAAATTTCCCACAGTTGGTGCCTATTCTCCTTACTTCCTCAACCCGAAAGACCAGAAAGAAAAATTTCATCACTGCAAATTCTTTCCTATTAATTCTTCTCCTTGGTTATTTCTAATGTTTTTTTTCGGTCAGTCCTCACACCACCCACCTCCATCTGCAGAAGGTCGCTCCAAAATTCGTGGAGGGATTGAGAAACTAGCCACAGGGCTCCATACGTTTGGTCACCACTAATAGTAGTGTTCCCTTCGGTAGACGTCTCACTGACAGTAACTGTTGCAAAACAGAAAAGCCACAAATTCGTAGCCTGTAAACCACATATGCAAACACAGCAGACATTCTAATGAGAGAATTGAGAGACGAGACTTCAGAATTCCATTCTACCTACCTCTTGGTTCTTACTGAGCTTACTTTGCGAGTAAGACAAAAAAAAAAAAAAAATTCACAACTGTATTATTTGTTGAGTGAAGCCAAGTGTCTTAGGTTCATTTTCCAACCAACTGTAAAAATTGAATTTAAAACTTAGATGCATTTTCCAACCAACTGTAAAACTTGAATTTAAAACTGGGATGCCCAGTTCATGTACTGGAAAAGCGTGAGGACCTTCTTACACAGCTCACAGTGGCGAAGAGCACATATGAGGTTAGCATATGTAACACAGACACGCTGACGCTGCCAGGGGTATCCACTTCCTCTGTTTCTCGGGTTTCTGAAGGCCTGCGCATCTGCGCTTCCCGTACCGGTTGCCGCAGCCACAGGCCAGATTTGATCTCTGGATGCCCTGTTTCAATCACAGGGAACCTAAGTGGCTGACGTGGGTGGAGAATTTATTGCAGTGCCTCCTTGACCTCTCTTTTATTTTGAATTAAAAAAAAGAAAAAGGAAAATAGCAGTAGTGTGGGTGAAATTAAAATGTGGTTTTCAGTTCAGGGAAGATTCAAAGGACTTTAAAAATATGTGATCCGTCACTGTTCTCACTTCTCAACCGCTGGCAGGGCCGGGGAGCATTTTACAGCGATAAAGCGATTGACAGCTTCCCAGCATGAATACGCTGCACCTCCTGAGCCCTCCAGTCTCGGAGACTGGAGGCATTTTTACTCCCAGTTTCCATCCCAAGGTAAGGAAACACGGAGTGTCAGAGAGTAAGTCACTTGCCTCAGAGCCCAAAGCCAGGATGAGGCCAAGTGGTATCTGACCTGAGAACAGTGACCCTGAAGTCCATGCATTATAGAGCTCAAAGGATAAACTAGACAAAGAAAACACCCGCATCAGAGAGGGCCATGCGCCACTTTATACTGGCAAAGGCAAGAGCAAGGGAGTGGGAATTCCCTGGTGTCCAGGGGTTAAGACTCTGCACTTCCAATGGAAGGGGTGTAGGTTCAATCCCTGGTCTGGGAACTAAGATCTCACATGCCACAGCCTTTTTTTTTTTTTGCCACAGCCTTAAAAAAAAAAAAAAAGGAACAAACTTTTTGCTTCCAGAAAACTGGAAGCAGCCTGACTTTCCCACTAGAGCTGGAACACCTCCTGGCTCAGCCCTCAGACCCCTCTTGACCTGCTTCCTTTCTTTCCCAATGGCTTTGGATCCATCGCTGGCTGGGGCAGCACTGCCCAGAGGTCTCCGGCCCCAACTTCCCCTGACACTGCCGATGCACCTTCATTTCATCATTCAACAGGCCTGTCAAACCATCACATCCAAAATCGAACAAGTACTTTCTGTTTCCCAAAACTGCTCCACCAGAACTTTCCCTGCCCAGAGTGATGGCAGCTTTTTTCCAGCTGCCTTGGGGGGTGGGGGCGGTAAAAAATCAAGTCATCCTGGACTTCCCTCTTCCTTTTCCACTGTTTCTCTCACGTTCATTGAACAAAAAGGCATTTTATAAACGTATTTATCAATGATTCCTTTGGCTGCGTCAGGTCTTAGTCGTGGCGCGTGGAATGCAGGATCTAGAGTGTGCGTGTTAGTCGCTCAGTCGTGTCTGACTCTTTGCAACCCCATGGGCTGCAGCCCATGAGACCCCTCTGTCCGCGGGATTCTCCAGGCAAGAATACTGGAGTGGATTGCCATGCCCTCCTCCAGGGGATCTTCCCAACCCAGGGCTTGAACGCACATCTCCTGCATTACTGGCTGAGCCACCAGTGGAACCCCCAGTTCCCTGACCCGGGACCGAATCTGACTCCCTGCCTTGGGAGTGCAGAGTCTTAACCATCGGACCACCAGGGAAGTCCCTCTCAAAGCATTCTCTGAAATGGCAAAGTCCACTAGTACAGTTAACAGTTATGTCATCTGCATGCAAACTGGTCACGAGTACCTTCACTAAAGCAGTTAGGGAAGCTTTATCCACGGCAACACTGTCTACCTACAAATAATAATGATCACACGCTACTTTGTTTTTGTGTGCTATTGGATAAACATGTATGTGACACCTCCTGTCTCCCAGGGACTGACCTCAAAGTGCTTTACAACACATTTAACTAAGTAACTCACATAATCCTCAAAAGAGCTGTATAAAGTAGGTACTATTATTATCCCATGTATATAGGAATCTGAGGCACAGGGAAGTTATAGAATGCCCATCACTCAAACATGGACAGTCCGGCTCCGGAGTCTTAATGAACCTACAGCCTTATCTGGGGGCCCAGGCGCAACTGCGTCCTCCGTCCTCTTCACAGGACAGAGGCCCCCGGAGGACGGCCGCAGGGCCCCGGTCCCAGAAGCACAGGGCTGTGCCTGACGATGCAGCTGGATGCGCAGACACGCCGCCCGCCTGGGCCAATTAGGCTGATTTGAGTGACAGAGAGCTGCTGAATTGGCACAAAGAGATCCCCCTCCCAACTCATCCCCTTTCTAGCTGATACTTTATAACGAAAATTTTAAGGAGGAAGAGATAGGGAAAAGAGAGAAGGAAGTGTGCTTCAGCAGCCCTGCTGATAGCGCGAACCCAGAGAGCAAAAACAAGGGCCCGTTTCCTCCACGGATCTCTGCGGGTGAGACGGACAGCACAGACCGCCCCCGTTCACTCTTTCTAGCACTTTTCCCTTTGTTTCCAGCTACAGCAGTGACTGCAAACTCCGGGAGATGGTGACAGACAGGGAAGCCTGGCGTGCTGCAGTCCACGGCGTCACGGAGGGTCGGACACGACGGAGCAACTGAACAACAACAGAGGATCCGGAATTAGCGAAATTCAGTGAGTGATCACTACTGACCGTGATTCTGATCACTTCAATTTCAAAAAAGGTTTTTCCCCATCTTTCAACTGCCAGAGTCTGAAGTGGAGGGAAACATAGAGTACTGTTAAAAAATTAATACTCTGTACTGGGCGAAGACACAAGTCAAGCTATTTGTGATAGCTCCGGGTTCACGGAATAGACGGCATTTAAATTAATGTGTCGCTGAATAAGCTATGATCACCCCAGGCTTATCCACTTAACTGTGGCATTACAATTACTCTTCTAACAACTGAAGTCAGGAAAGACAGACAAACACATTCGATTTCTAAAGCAAACAGATATAAAATCTGTTCTCATTTAAAGCAGCTCACATTTTTTAAAAACGCACTTAGCTAACTTCAAAAAGTAGCCAATGGAGTGATTCTATCTTGCTGGTGAGGGTCTGGTGTCTCACTTCAAAGT